ACTGGAGAATCAGGAGGTTCATACATTTGGAAAGGAGAGCTTTGTTTCTCCAACAGGGTTGCAGCCTGCAGGCTGGCCATGCCACAGGGTGGAAGCATAGCCTCCAGCAGAAGTGGAGAGCAAGCACTTTGAGGGAGGGAAGAACAAGACAGGACTTAATGCTGAACAGGCTGGCTAAGCATACTTAATCAACAGGTTACAGGAGTAGCAATGAATATTCATGAAAGGGTGGTGCCACATGCCTAGCAGGCTAACATGTATGCAACACTTAAATGTATTACAATTAGACTCTATACATTAAAATTGGGAGCAGAGTTCATGAAGGCCTGTGAACCACGTGGTTTTCTGTGTTTGTTTTATTTTATAATAGAAACATCAAAAAGAAAAAAATATGAGACAACATTACCTGTAGTAGCGACATGAATAGATGACCATGGCAAGTGACTAAATTAAAACAGGAATACAAGATATTTCCACTTTGAAATAAAAAGAAAGGATAACTCTCTACTGACACTCTTAGAAGAGTCACAGAAGAACTGCTTGGGATACATCCTCTCTATCCCTGAAGCATCCCATTTTTGTGATAGCTTTATGGAAAAGTACCTGAAAATGATAAATGTTAAATCAGTGGCATTCCCACCCAAGGCAGCTTTGTTTTTAAATGTTTTACCTGTAATTACCCCTTGAATTTTTTCTTTAAATCTTATTGAGATTATGGGTTTAATTGGATGTGGAAAATCTCTTTATTCTGCTTATTGTGAAAATGTTAGATTCTATTATCTGACTTTACATAAATAAGTTTTAAAAATAAATTTTTTTTTTTTTTTTTTTAGAGTTTCACTCTGTCACCCAGACTGGAGTTCAGTGGCCACTCCTGGCCACCGCAGTGTAGACCTGCTGGGCTCTGGCGATACTTCCGCCTCAGCCTTCCAAGTAGCTGGAACTACAGGCACGCGCTACCACACCCGGCTCATTTTGATTTATTGTAGAGATGAGGTCTCGCCAAGTTGCCCAGGCAGGTCTCGAACCCGTGGACTCAGGCAATCCACTCACCTCAGCTTCCCAAAGGCATGGGATTACAGGCTGAGTCACCGAGCCCCTAACAATAATTTTAGATCTACAGAAAAGATACAAAGATAGTAAAGAGAATTCATGCATTCCCCTTACCCAGTTTCAGTTTCCCCTGTGAATGTTACTGTTATGGGTTGAATTATGTTCCCCAAAACTCATATGTTACAGTCCTAGCCTCCAGTACTTCAGAATATGATCTTGTCTGGAAATTGAGTTGTTGTATGTTTCTATTGTAAAATAAAACACAAACACAGAAAGTCACCCAAAATATAATGTAGAACTTAGTGAATGATTATAAGGCAAAACCCCTGTAACTGCTATCTAGGTCAAAAAATAAAACTTAGCAGTTGTAAGACACAATCTGGTATGGGCACTGGAATTTCTCGCACTATATTGCTAGGTATGCCATGAACAGATATTGCCATATACACAAGGGTCTGAGTGCTCTTTGCCTGGGCCATTTTTCAGGGCTGTAGTTGTTGTGAACAACCTCAAGGAAGAAGGTGATGCCTCCCTCTGGGACAGACAGCTGGCTTGCTTGTAGCTTGCTACAAATGAACAGGTTCCCCAAATTCAGTACTGCTGTCCTATAATGCAATATGCTGTACCTGCAGGCATTCATGTGGGCCTGCTACATCACTCCCATGGGACTTGGGGAGCAAGGGAAGACTTGTTCAGTGTTGCTCCTTGTGTCACTAATAATGACATCTTTTGTCTCTAATCCAAGAGTTTCATGTCTTCTGCCAGCATCCATGCCACAATAACAGTCTATTAACCTGTTCAGTACTACAGACTGAATGCTTGAGTCCCTCCAAAACTCATATGTTGAAATTCTAACCCCCAAGCTGATAGTATAAGAACTAGGACCTTTGGAAGGTGATTATAGTCCTTATGAATGGAACCAGTGTCCTTACAAAAGAAATCCTGGAATGTTCCCTCACTCCTTCTGCCAAATGAGGACACCAAGAGAAGGTCCAGACAGCTGTCTATGAAACCAGGAAGCTGGTCCACACCAGACACTGAATCTGCTGGCCCCTTGATCTTGAACATCCCAGGTTCCAGAACTGTAAGACATAAACTTCTGTTGTTTATGAGCTACCCAGTTTATGGTATTTTGTTATAGCAGCCTGAATCAACTAAAACAGTATTACCTATTGTATCCTTGGGAACTAGGAACCTTTGATGAGGGGGGTTAAAAAAATTCAGCTGTAGTTTTAAAAAGTTAATACTTATCCTAGGACACCATCAGGACATACAAAATAAGAACATGACTGCTGTCATGAAAATAACATGCTCAGCATCACTTTCTGAGCATACTGAATAGGACTACTTTCTAAAAGGAAAAAAAAATTGGAAGCTTTCTCCATGCCCAGGTCAAAATTAAATGAACTTTTGCACATTAAATTAAAATATGGTTTAAGAGTTTTAGGTTATGGAGAAAGAAGAAAAACAGATATTTCTATGAAAAATTGTTTTAGTTAGAATATGTCCAAATCATCCTATGGATACAAATGAGGCATCATAAACAGGTTCCACTGGCTTTCATTAGCTTGATAAACCTTATCTGCAGAAATGTAGAATTTTGGCCTCCTTTCTGAGTTCTATTCCCCAACTTGTATTTTGGAAGAGTCATCATGAATGACTCACCATTATCAGAAATTAGCCCTGTCTACTTCTCAAAACCCTGCCTGCAATACTGCCAACAATGGCATACTTCCATCACTCCTCTTTGAAATAAAAAGGATGACCCTCTTTCTACTGACTCCCTTAGAAGAGCCACAGAAGAACTGCTTGGGATACAACCTCTCTATCCCTGAAGCACATGTAAATGCAAATATTGAGACCCAGAAACACTCAGCCCTCAGGCCCTGAGAGTCCAGTTTATCTTTCTACCCTCAAGATGATCTCTGTCCGATGTCACTTCAGTCCCCAAGTAATCTGGCTTCTGTCATGTCTTCCCATTCCACCTGTGTACAATGTCTAAATACGAATCACAGACATTGCTCCAAGTTCTTTTTCTAGGAAACTCCTTAGACCTCATGTATATCAGCTGACTAAAATAAACAAGGGTAGTGCTATGGCTTGAATATATGTCTCCTCCAAAACTCATGCTGAAATTTAATTCCCAATGTGGCAGTATTGAGAAGTGGGTCTTTTAAGAGATCATGAGAGATCCATCCCCATGAATAGATTAACTTATTATAAACTAATGGGTTAGTGGATTAATGGGTTGATGGGTTAATGGGTTATTATGGAAATAGAATATATAAATGGCTTTATTTAAAAAAAAAAAAAAAAAAGAGCCAGGCTCAGTGGCTCAGCCTGCAATCCCGTGTTTTGGGAGGCTGAGGTGAGTAGATTGCCTGAGCCTGCAGGTTCAAGACCAGCCTGGGCAACTTGACGAGACCTCACCTCTACAATAAATCTTAGCCGGGTGTGGTAGCACGCGCCTGTAGTTCCAGCTACTTGGAAGGCTGAGGCGGAAGGATTGCCAGAGCCCAGCAGGTCAAGGCTGCAGCGGCCGGGAGCGTGCCACTGCACTCCAGTCTGGGTGACAGAGTGAGACTCCAACTCAAAAAAAGAAAAAAAAAGAAAGACCCAGTCTAGCATGCTCAGCCCCCTTGCCATGTGATGTTCTATGCTACCTCAGTACTCTTCAGAGAATCCCCATCAACAAAATGGCCCACACAAGATGCAGACTCTTGACATCAGACCTCTCAGCCTCCAAAACTGTAGGAAATAATTTCCTTTTTTAAAATACATTCCTCAGTTTTAGGTATTGTTATAAACAACAGAAAATGAACTAAGACAGGTAGGAAAGGATATTCAGGCTTCATAGCCTCCTATCCATTTCGGTTAACACTTGCAGTAGTTACTTAGTGCCCACTCTGGCAGAAGAATACAGTAGGTAGTCTATGAAGCCAGTTTGCCTGGATTCAAATCACGCCTCATATTTACTACCTGTATGACATTGGGCATGTTACTTAGCCTCTCAGTCCCTCAGTTTCTTGTCTGTTAAATAGGGATAAGGCTACAAACCCCTAATTTATAAAATTTTCTAGATTTTGGAAAAGTAACAGTATATATTACGTGCTATATAAGATACCCCAAGTAGAGTCTGGATCAGTACACTGTAATCAAATGCTTTTATACTTGTACATCAAACCATGAATATTCCTACTAGTTAGGATAATGACAAGAGCTGTTCAGATCAGATTTTGCCACCAAATGCATTTGTCACAAACTAACAAAAAGCCTTTGGTTTGCAGGTTTTCGAATTGCAAATAAGAGATCTGTGGTGTCTACTTCATAGTACTATAATGAGAATTAATTGAGTTAATGCATGTCAAGTACGCATCTAGCATAGTAGTAAGTGATATCAGATGACTTTTTATTTTTATGTGTGAAGTACTTGTCAGGCTCTATAAGGAATATAAAAGAATAAGAAGAATAAAAATTATTTCTTCCTTACAATCTGATAAACTAAGGACATTTAAGTTTTACAAGAGTACCATTAGTACAGTAACAGCTAACATGTACAAAATGATTATTATATGCCATGCACTATGCTCGATTTTTAAATGCATTATCTATCATTTATAAGCATTCTAAGGTAGATATTATTATTATCCTCATTTTATATATACCAAAAGGAAAGCTGCAAGAGACCAAGTAATCTGCCCAAGATTAAGTAGTTTTCCTGTTGTTTAAATCCAGGCATCTTGACTTGTAAGATTCATGCTCTTAAATAACTTTATGCTACCTCCTACAAAGTATGTGTGTCAAGTGTTGGCATTGTACAGTTCAGAACCATGTTGTACTAAGGTCAAGGAAAAATGTCATGCCAGTATTTCTCTACTTCCCTAACAATGACATTTTAAGTTACACATATAATCTAATAATGCCAGCAAAACAAAGTCAAAACTTACCAAATGTTGCAGTATGATATTAGTCCTTTTGAATGCATTAAACCTGAAACAAATGTAGAATACAATGAGCACTATAATGTCAGTAGTCATGTCTCAATTTATAAGCACTATATCACTTTTGCTTTAGCTTCTTCTAAAAGGTATTAGAACTATTTTTTTTTTAAGTTTAATTCTCATTCATTGCTGGTAGGAATGTAAAATGGCACAGGTACTTTAACAGTTTGGTGGTTTCTTACGAAACTACACTTCTTACCATATCATACTCTTCTTACCATACGATCCAGCAATTTTGCACTTTGGTATATACCAAATAAGTTGAAAACTTACATCCATAAGAAAACCCAAACATGAATTTTATGGCAAGTTTAGTCATAACTTCCAAAATGTGGAAGTAACCAAGATGTCCTTCAAGGGTTGAAGGACAAACCAACTTCAGTATATCCATACAATGATCTATTACCTAGCCATAAAAAGAAATGCACAATCATGCCTAAAAAATAAGAAATAAAAACAAAACCAAGAAACTTAAATGCAAACTATTAAGCAAAAGAAGACAATGTGAAAAGGCTCCAAACTATGAGTTCAACTGTATGATATTCTGAAAAAGGCAAAATTATAAAACTAGTAGATCAGAGGTTGCCAGGGATATAGGGAGGGAGGGGTGAAAAGGTGGAACAAAGGAGATGTTTCGGGCTGTGAAACTAATCTGTAAGATACTGCAACAGTAGATACATAACAATATACATGTGTCCAAATTTTCTGCTCAAATTTTCAACTCAATTTTTCTGAAAGCTAAAACTATTCTGAAAAATAAAGGCTATTAATATTTTTTAAAAGGGTTTGGTAAAGATGCAATAAAACAAGCATTATCAGAAACTGTAGAGAGATGTTTAACTTGGTATTGCCTTTCTGGCAGGCAGTCTAGAAAAACACATCCACAGCCTGTAAGGTAATTATACCGTTTGATCTAGTAATTCCGTAAGTATTTGCACTATGACCAGTTTGATTTATAAAGATGTTCACAACAATTATTTACATGAAAGAAAAACTGGAAACAAAGTAAATATATAATGATAAAGCAACATTTAAAAAATTGTGTCATCTTTCATTAATCAGTATTTTTTATTATGGTTTTGTGGGGTACAGTTAAGGGTTAGGTGTACAATGACGTTTCATTCAGGCACCCTGTAGATAAGAAGTGTTTTCCCATCCCCCGACAGATATTTGCTACTGTTAATCCCATCCCCCTCCCCCCCATAGTTTCCCAGTACCATCAGTCATTTTCTTATAGTATTGCATTGGATGTTCAAGGTCCATTATATGAGTGAGAACATGTGATATTCGGATTTTTGTTTTTGTGAGAGGTCACGCAGTATTATAGACTCTAGTTCCATCCAGGTTGCAGCGAAATTCATGATTTTGTTCTTTTTTATGGCTGCGTAGTATTCCATCATGTATATGTACCACATTTTTTAATCCAGTCCTCTTTTGATGGGCAGCATGGTTGTTTCCAGGTTCTTGCTATTGTGAACAATGCTGCGATAAACATACGTGTGCAGGTATCTTTTTTATAGAGTGATTTGTGTTCTTCAGGGTATATTCCCAGTAGGGGGATTGCAGGGTCATATGGAAGGTCAATTTTTAGAGCTTTTAGGAATCGCCACACTGCTTTCCACAGAGGTTGCACTAGTTTACACTCCCACCAACAGTGTAGAAGTGTTCCCTTTTCACCACACCTCTCCAGCAGCTGTTATTTTTGAGTTG